TGGAGTTATAAATAAAAGGAATTTAAGAAGTGTAGTTTTAAAGTTAAAGGAGATCAAATTGCAACAATTGATACCGTGGTCTAGTTAAGATAATATGAAAGGGTTTTCTTAGTTGATATGGTGAAGTTAAATGCTGAGCCGTGGCACAGTGTTCCAATCTTCGTGACAAACTGCCGTGAGCAGATGGGACAAGTCCACTAGACAACCTGCCGTGAGAAAATGGGACCAGTCCACTAGACAACTTGTCGGGAGCAGATGGGACCAGACCACTAGACAACCTGCCATAAGCAAATGGGACCACTACACTACACAACCTGCCATGATAGAGTGTACCAGTCCCAAAGTGACAGCCTGCCATAAGCAAATGGGACCAATGCACTACACAACCTGCCATGACAGAGTGTACTAATCACAGTGACAGCCTGCCATGAGCCAATGGGACCACTACACTACACAACCTGCCTGCCATGACAAAGTGTACCAATCCCAGTGACAAACGGCCGTTACAGAGGGCGACAATTTACTAGACCACCTGCTGTGAAATAAAACGGTTTTTTCAGCACTGCAGTTGTAGAGATATTGTACTTGGAATTAGCCTCTGCTAAATATACGGAAAATAAAAACCAACCCACAGTATCAACACCTACCTGACTCTCCCGTGATTATGAGACTTTCCTGACCATGGTTTATCATTCAAGTCCAATGTGCAGTATTTCTATTAAAATAACATAAGTACGGAGGTTAAATTATTAAATTTAATAAATTGGAGTTCGGTCATTATTGCAGTAAAAAAGTCAGTATAGCAGTAATGACGTCAAAGTAGAAGTGAGAAAGTCAATATGGAAGTAATGACGTAGATGTAGATGTGAGTAAGTCAATATAGAAGTAATTAAGTAAATAAAAGTAGTAATTATATCATTATGGCAGTAATTACGTCAATTTATTTATACTTATGTTAATGTAGCAGTGGTTAAGTCAATATAGCTGTAACGAAGCCATTATAGCAAAAATTAAGTCAATATACATGTAATTAAGTCAGTATAGCAATAAATATATCACTATAGCATATTTTGTAGTGCAGTATTTAAGTAAATGTAGTATCAATTAAGTCATTATGGAAGTAATTAATTCACTATGGAAGAAATATGGCCAATATAGGAGGAATTAATTCAAAAAGTGGTTACTTAGTCAATATAGCATTTTAAAAAAGATATAGCAGTTATTAAGTCAATATAGAAGTAATTTTTTCAATATTGAAGTAATGAAGTCAATATAGAAACAACTAAAAGAATATATTTAAGTAATGAAATCAATATAGAAACAATTAAAAGAATATATTAATAATTAATTCATTATGGAATTAATTAAATCAATATAGTAGTAATATAATCAATATAGCAGTAAATGATTAAATAAGTCAATCATATCTTGCTATTACACAAACTGCAGAGATACGGGAGCCAAGGCACTACCAAAACATGGAGCTTCCTCAGCGACTGATGTCATGCAGTATTGGTAGATGGCACAACCCCCCCCCCCTTTGTCGGTGTTAATTCGGGGGTCCCCAGGGCCTGGTGCTAGGCATATATCAATGACCTGTCCGAGAAGCTGACCTCTGAAGCAAGACTGTGTGCAGACGACATGGCGGTGTATAGGACGATCGCCAACAGTTCTGACCAGGACCGGCTATACCAGGACCGGCTACACCAGGACCTCAAACGGTTAGCAGAGTGGGAGATGAGCTGGGACATGGAATTTCATCCCGTCAAGATCCAGACTCTGTCAGTCTCCAGAAGCAAATCCCCTCTACACCGCTCTTACGAATTTTTTGGCCATATACTTGAGCCAGTGTCCTCAGTTAGGTACCTAGGTGTTACCATTCAAAGAGAGGTCCGCTGGGACGAGAACTTTAACAGTGTGTGCAACCGGGCAAACAGGACCCGGGGGAGGTCGGCAACTCAAGCGTGAAAGAAAAAGCCTATAAAACTTTTGTCCGGTCGCTCTTAGAGTACGCATCTACAGTCTGGGACCCATTTACCCAGAAAAGCATCGACAGGTCCAGCGACGGGCACCACGCTTTGTCCTGAACCGCTACAGAAACGACTCAAGTGTTGGCAGCATGCTAGAAACACTGAGTTTGTCTTCATTGGAAGAACGACGACGACTATTCAGGTTCACCATGTTGTAAAAGATTAAAAATGGCCACGTTCACTGCTTCACGGCATCAAAAAGAAAATCATCCATCTTCCATATAGGCAGCGAAGAGGCCAAGGCAGGCAGTGCCAGCTAAAAAAAATTAAAAACTCATTACAGGAGTTCCTTATTCCTGACTGGAACAAACTTCCAAAAGTCAATTTCCTTCTGTCTTCCAACCCCCAGCTCATAACATTACTGTCGAGTCGCCCTTGCAACCAGTGAAGCATCCCTTTGAAAACCATGCACAGTAACATCGCAAATCCCTCTGAATCATAGGAGCCAGAATGATCAATTCATTGATCGTGGGCCCTCAAAATAAAGAAGAAGAAGAATATAGCTGCTTGGACTCCCATGTTTTCTTTATTAGAAAAAATAAAGAACATATCATTTCCAATTCTAGCCCTGACATCCGCTTTTCATAATCATTTAAGTAAATGTGAAATCTCCAATTCTTTCGGTGCATTTCCTACCAGGGAGAGATTTCTTGGCTGAGTTTATCTTTATGATCTTTGTCTAGGTTTTTAATTATATAAATAAGTCACGATTCATTGGTGCCCTTGCTTTCTACCCTACACCCCAATGAAAAGTATTGCTAAATTTCTGACGATAGATACACTTCCTAGAGGAGTCGCTAATATTAGCATCACCATGGGGGCTAAATATTTTTGCCGCACACCCTTTCATGCAACAACATGTGAAGTTGACCCAAAATGCAATTCCTCCATATAAAGAAAAAGTGAGACATGGGTGAAAAAAACCCCATCATCTCCCTTTCAACGCCACTGGAAGGAGCTTAGCCATTAAATATCATCAAGCCCATTTAGGCGGGACCTCTAATCCTTCTTGATGGGACGTATGTCTCATCTGCCCCTACTTATCTAAACCTGCGGCCACTGCCCACTGGCAACTGACACTGTCCCACAACCGAATTAATGAAATGATTCCCCCCCCCCTCTTCCGAGTTTCTGGGAGGGGGGAAAAGTCTGAAAGAAACCCTGAGTGTGCATTAGGCATATGATCTGTACAAACATATCGATAATGTATGTGTCCACTCGGCATAAAACACTTCTGAGAGAGCTGCACTGGCTGCCAGTGCGTGCTCGCATGGAGTACAAAATCGCAACTTTGTGCTACCGCTGCTTACATGACCTGGCGCCGTCCTATCTGAAAGAGCTGCTGACGCCTTATGTACCCAATAGAGAGCTCCGCTCATCCGATAGTGGCAAACTCTCGACACCACGTGTTTGCCTTGAGACTTACGGAAAGCGCACTTTCGCATTTGCTGGTCCACTAATTTGGAATGCCCTTCCTGTCGATCTCAGAAACAACCAGACACTGGAGTCCTTTAAAACCGATTTAAAGACACATCTATTTCGCAAACACCTTCTGGGATGATTGTCAACATTATTTTCCAGTTAATGCATAATGGCTGTGTTGCTTATGGTTGAAATGGCTAGAAAGACTTTGCCATTGTATGCTTGTACTTAGTTTTTGTCTTAAATGTGGTAAACTATAGATTTGTTTTTTGTTGACTTTGTACCGCGCTTCGAGCCTTTGGGGATGAAGCGTGTTTTTGAAATGAACTTTATTATTATTATTATTATTATTATTATAAGGTCTTGAAAATCATTATAAATCTATCAATGTGTAAAAAGAAGGCATAGGGTCTATAAAAAAAAGAACATGTATTCTTGTGTCTCATTGACCCAAGACCCACAACCAATAGCAACTCTCTACAATTAACCCCTTCAGTATCTTGCGTACGCTGATGACAAAGGACTGTTAAGGAAAAGTAAACACGTATTAAAAGCATTAGAAAATGCATCACTACAAGTAGGGTTTGAAGCTAACAACCAAAAAAAAAAAAAACATGACCATGTTAAGGGAAGAAAACGCAGACCATTAAAATTAGATATCAGACTTTTTAACCAGTAAATCCATTCAAATATATGTACGATCTTTGTTTAATGAAGGAAACGAATTACTATCAAAAGTAAAATAAATACCATCGGCTGGAAACACGGTGCACTTCAGTAGTCAGGGAATCATCCAAAGTAAAAAAATTACAAGAAAACCAAAGAAAACTGTGTATAAAACTGTAATCACACTAAATGTAACATTAGCAAGTGAACCTTGAATCCAAACGAAAAACTGCAGAAAACATATTAACCACGAGGGAGAGAAAAGCTGCCCGGGGAAATATACCGACCAACAAAGGATGAATGTGGATGGAGAATACGAACCAACAAGGAATTGTACGGTCTATATCAGGATTTCAAGCTAGTAGAAGAAATTAAAAGGTAGAACGCGCTTGGCGGGACACGAAGAAGGGATTCCAAAGGACACAAGAGAGAAGACGGTGCACCACCAAAACCGCAGATGAAAACGGCTCAAAGGCAGACCAAGGCATAGATAGATAGATGATGTGAAAAAAGATATACAGCAGCTGGGAATCCAAGCATGGAAAAAAAAACATCGGGTAGGTATGAATGGAAGGAAGTGGTGAGGAAGGCCAAAGCCCTTCATGGGCCGTAGCGTCAAAAGTGTGTATGTCTAAATTGCAGTGTGTTTAAACTTTAAAAAGTTCTATGCGTAATTTTGAAAAAAAAAAAACTATCGTAAATTGCTATCTTTTAATAAACTGAATTCATCACATAGTAGTGGTCAACCATGATGGGCTGCCTTGAAATATGGACATGTCAGCTCAATGTTAAACGTACCTGGCTAGACCCCAGAAAAAACAGTTGGTCATCTGTTAGGTTCAGACCAGGTAGACGTGGTTCGTTTAGTTCACCTAACGCCTTGTAGGCCTTGTAAGCAAGTTTAATACCTTCATTATCACATATGTCTTCAGATATGCTTGAAAAGCCGTTTGCCTTTTGAATTTATAAAAAAAAAAGGCCTTGAAGATACATAGAATTTTTTTTATTAATGATACACATTTCTGTACTAGAGTGATTCAATCGCGCAATTACTCAATAATTGGATACGGACTTCAATGAAGTATATTCACATGAAAATCATTTTAATATACTTACATAAAGACCAATGTCATCTACTTACTCTGACAGTATCGAATGGCATTGACATGTAGTGGTCAATCAAACAAAGGGTTCTTTCCATGTAGGTTTCATTAACGGCTGAATTCCAACTAGGCTGAACCTTAAAATTAGCTGTAATGCTGATGTGCGCATCATCAAAGGAGTGCATGATTTCGTGACCCAGAGTTTCTCCAATGCCACCATACTGCATTGATCTGATGGCGTATTTACACACAAAATTGTCTTAAAACGATCTATGTATCTCAGCAAAGTTTTTCAGCTTTAGATTAAACTACTGAATGAGATATTGTATCAGGCAGAGAGTATCAAGAACAAGAAATGAACACAACTTAGCGCTTTAAGGCCGTTACTTCATTTATTTTCCTCGTAAAGAGACCCCTTTCTAACAGCGACTGTCCAACATGTCTGCTTTTCACTACTGGGAAAAGGTGACGGCTAGAGATGTGCACCGTACATGCGAACGACTCAATACTGTTATTTTTACAAATTCTGTATTTAACATGAGATACAAGCAAACAAATTTATAACAATATATAAAAAAAGCTATCGCACTTCTTCTGTTGAGAGTACTGAGCTTACTCTCTTATGACCCCGGCTATGACATTAGCTACCTGCTCTAATGGCTGAGCTGAACCATATAACATTTTCTTTCACGTAGGGCTCTCACGCCATCTTGCGCCCCCCCCCCCCCCCAAAAAAAAAACAAAAACTACTAGTGAGAGATGTATTTAGTCAACAGATGCGCTAGTATTTCGGGAAACATGCTGCAATGCCGGCAGGTAAGGTGCCTGTGGTTATCTACCCTGTACAAGTATGTGCCGACAGCACGGTGCTCGTTGCGCGGCATCTGCGTCACTAAACTCTGTATGAAAACTCTTCTATGAATTTAAAATGTCAAATGTGTATACAGATTCACTCACGTGGGTAAATCCAAACTAAATGAGGGTAGTTGCAAAACAGAACTGGCGATGTTGACCTTATGCTCTGTAGGTAAATAAAACTCACGGAATATGTGGAACTTTAGCAATCCGCCGCTGTCGAAACAGTAAAAAGAGACATTTAAAAAAATTAAAATTGAAAAAAATTAAAATACAACAGTGTCGTGAGTAATAATGAGATAATTTCTTTTGGTGTAACTACTCTTTCTTTTGGTGTAACTACTCTTTTATTTGGTGTAACTACTCTTTCTTTTGGTGTAACTACTCTTTTATTTGGTGTAACTACTCTTTCTTTTGGTGTAACTACTCTTTCTTTTGGTGTAACTACTCTTTCTTTTGGTGTAACTACTTTTTCTTTTGGTGTAACTACTCTTTCTTTTGGTGTAACTACTCTTTCTTTTGGTGTAACAACTCTTTCTTTTGGTGTAACTACTCTTTCTTTTGGTGTAACTACTCTTTCTTTTGGTGTAACTACTCTTTCTTTTGGTGTAACTACTCTTTCTTTTGGTGTAACTACTCTTTCTTTTGGTGTAACTACTCTTTCTTTTGGTGTAACTACTCTTTCTTTTGGTGTAACTACTCTTTCTTTTGGTGTAACTACTCTTTCTTTTGGTGTAACTACTCTTTCTTTTGGTGTAAGTACAATTTCTTTGGTGCACCTTCTTTTTCTTTTGGTGTAACTACATTCCGGTGTTGTAACTACTCTTACTTTTGGTGTATCTAATCTTTCTTTTGGTCTAACTACTCTCTCTTTTTGTGTAAGTACTCTTTGTGGTCGTGTAACTACTCTTAATTTTGGTGTAACTACTCTTTCTTGTGGTGTAACTACTCTTTTTTTTTTTAAGTTTTACTCTATTTAAATTCTAATGGACGTGAAACGTTTTAAGAAATTTAAACAGAAATCTTGTCAAATGTAAAAAGAAATGGAAGGTATGCTTTAATGTTTTTTTTGTAGTTTTGTTTTTGTATTGTTTCTTTTTTTGATGTTTTTTGCTTGTTTTTTTAATTTTATTTGAACAGAAAATAAGATAAAATAAAGATTAAGTCATAAGCTGATCGAAGCTATTAACCTTTGCATCATAGTTTGTTCTCCATCACCCATCTGAGGAATTCGGACGAGTGTGTTGGGGGGGGGGGAGGGGGGCGGGGGTTGCATGTTTTGCTTTCATATATCAAATTATTTTTTGAGGGGGGGGCGCATCAATTTTCTTTCTGCCCGCCCCCCCCCCCCCCCCCCCCGTCCGTTTCGACATTAAACCTTCGCCTGAATGGACATTTAACTTATGTCCCCCTGGTCTTTAAACGGAAAAAAACAACAACAACAAACGACTTTGAACCGTGCAAATGTTGCTCAACAGAGTGATAAGATTTCTTTGCCTCTCTCTGTCTTTACTGGCTCCTTTATTCGAGCGACTGTATTGTTTTAGTTGAAAAATTTGGACGATGATAAAATATATTTTTCTTTATGTGCTGAAAATGTATATGCCCAATGCATATTGTGGATCAATAGCATAGTCTTATCTTATCTAATGGTGTGCGGCAATATACATAAAACAGAAATCTGTGGGGAAAAAAACGAATTATTTGGTTCAGCCTTCATATAAATGATCATTGTCATGGTTTGATTTAGTTCACACATTGACATGATCAGAAATAAAAATGATTTCTTGCTTAATTTTTGTGATCTTTCATTCCCTTGTCATTTGTATTGTTTATATGTCCTTTACATTGCGAGGTACTTAAGATGTGTTTTTTTGGATGCTAAATTGGAGTCAATGAAATGAGTCAAACTTGAGGTGCAAGATTTGACTAAACCTAACCTAACATAAAACATTCTTAATGTAGGATCGTTGTGGAAAAAGCTATACTCATATCACATGACAGCATGGTCGTGTCAAACTCTAATCGTGTATCAAGCCATGTTGATCTAGTCATGAATAATTTTACTGTTTCGTTATACTCAATGCGATCACACCCCACCCCCCACCCCCACCCTCAAACACTTACATCGAGGGTTCACTGTTGCTTGTGTGGCGGTTTTGTCTTAAGGTCTCTGTCATGATCATGATGACGCTGAAGAGAAATTCACCAGGACTGACCGAGACGTTGTGATAAATTTTGTCCAGAGCTACCGGGTCAAGGACCCAGTCAGGGTAGCCAATTAGTAGTTTGATGTCTTGGGCTTTTTGGATGACGGCGGCTCTTAGTTCTTCACCCAACCAAGGAACGCCATCAAAGGTACTGACAATTTGTTTCTTGATGTTCTCTCCCATGGCAAACACCTGCAGTATACAATGGTAACATGTATATATATATATATATATTATTTCAACAAAACAAATCAACAAAATAACCCAACAGAACTGACAAGGAAGAAGGAAATGCGAGGAGAACGATATTTCAAGGAGAATGTTTCAGTGAGGATGTAGTGAGGAACATGATGTAATGACGACGTTTCGTGGAGCATGTTGTGAGGAAGATGATGTGAGAAAGACGATCTGTGGAGGAAGTTCCAGGGAGAATGTTGTGATGAAGACGATGTGTGGAGGATGTTTCAAGGACGATGTTGTGAGAAAGAGGATGTGTGGATGATGTTTCAGTGAGGGTGTTGTGATGAAGATGATGTGAGGACGATGCTGCAAGGACGATGTGTGGATGATGTTTCAGTGAGGGTGTTGTGATGAAGAAGAATTGAGGACCATTTTTCAGAAGAGGATGTTGTGAGGAAAACGATGTTAGGATGATGTTCAAGGAAGATGTTGTGAGTTGGATGATGTTTGATGATGTTGTAAAAAGGACAAGTAACGTACAACAATTTTTTTTTTTGCGTACTTTGGGGGCTACGGTCCCGTTATTGTTTTATTGATTTTTATTAAAATCTAGGGTTTGGGTGCGGTCGGCACCTTTATTTTTCCCCAGGCAGCAAAAGATACGCCTCAGAATAAAGGAATGAATTCGATAAATTTGTAACCTTGTCATGTACTTATATATCGGGGGTACAAAAAAATAAATTTAAATCCAATGATATTACTATTGTTAAAAAGACTTGTTACGTTATCTTTTCTTTATAATAAACATGTTTATCAATTATGAATGTCAATAAAGTTAACAAAACGTGCTTAAATTTACAAAAAGTATACCCATTAATGTCAAGACCAATTCATTTTACACATGAGAAAATTTAGTCTTGGAGCAAATCAGATGGGTTGAGATTTTATTGCAAAAAAAATAATAACTACATTTTTTGCTTTTACTCTAGCGTAGAAATCAGCCGTAAATGAACTCCTTTAAATGACAATAATTAGATTTGGTCATTTAAGGCCATGCTTAAAGGGACACAATTGTGGTTGAGGGGCAAGCAAATGAATAGAGTAGGTGCATAATACATAGCAGGATACACAAAATTTTTTTAAAAATTTAATGATGTTAGAAACGTAAATATCATTAAATGGGTTTTATTTTTAAATTACGGAATTGTGATGAGTTTTCGCAATAGCGGGTGAGAATGATCACAAAGTGATTGCACATTTTCATCTCGGTAACATAGGGGGCGATATTTTCTGGTTTAGTGTGATGGAGTTCAAAGAAGTTTGGTCTAATTGGGATTTTGTTTTAAGTGTCCTGCTTGCGTGCATGTTTAATTTAAGCACCTGAAGAAGTAGAGACGTGCACGCCATTGCCGCCGCCATTGCATGTTCTGTTATTTGTTGTTAAAAATCATGTGAACACATTGATGCTCATACAATGATTGCAAAGCATACCATCTTCTTTTATTCAACATCTTACCTCTCAAATTGAGAAAAAAAATAATTAAAATCATTCTTTTGTCATAATAATAATACTAAAGTAAACGACAAAGTCTACGCGTTTTATCGTGGTGTAGCATATTTGCGCTATTTTTCACTTTTTTTCTTGCAAAATATCTAAACATCTAAGATCCAATGTTATATAATGTGATATAACTGAATCGAGTTTTTAAGATGTGCATCCTCACAACAAAAAAAAGAAATAATTAAGTAACTAAAAAGTAACGACTGTTTTCGATGCATTTGAAAAGTATATTTAGGAAACTGCAAATAATTCAAATTGAAAAAAAAAATTATGTATCTATAAATGTCTACGTTTCTAAAATCAATGATTTTTTTGTATAAATGGTTATCTTCAAATATCTTCTATATTATATAAGTCTACATAAAACTCTTGAAATATCATAGGATTTAAGGATTTATTTACCCAAAACAATATCATAGACTTTTAG